CATTTGTCATCTTTTTAGTTTTATATTTATTTGTTTATTGGTTTGAGTTTTCGAGGGTTTTTTTTTTTGTTTTGTTTTGTTTTGTTTTTTTGTTTTTCGAGACAGGGTTTCTCTGTGGCTTTGGAGCCTGTCCTGGAACTAGCTCTGTAGACCAGGCTGGTCTCGAACTCACAAAGATCTGCCTGCCTCTGCCTCCCGAGTGCTGGGATTAAAGGCGTGCGCCACCATTGCCTGGCTAACAGCAAGTGCTCTTTTGTTTGTTTGTTTGTTTTGTTTTTGTTTTTCAAGACAGGGTTTCTCTGTGGTTTTGGAGCCTGTCCTGGAACTAGCTCTGTAGACCAGGCTGGTCTCGAACTCACAGAGATCCGCCTGCCTCTGCCTCCCGAGTGCTGGGATTAAAGGCGTGCGCCACCACCGCCCCGAGGGTTTTTGTATCTGTATAACAGCTCTAGCTGTCCTGGAACTTGCTCTATAGACCAGGTTGGCTTCAAACTTACACACAGAGATTCACCTGCCTCTGCTTCCTCAGTGCTGGGATTAAAGGTGTAGGCCATCATGCCTGACTTCTTACTTGTTTATTTTTATTTTTTATTTTTTTATTTTTTTCGAGACAAGGTTTCTCTGTAGCTTTGGGCCTGTCCTGGAACTAGCTCTTGTAGACCAGGCTGGTCTCAAACTCACAGAGATCCGCCTGCTTCTCCCTCCTGAGTGCTGGGAGTAAAGGTGTGCGCCTACACCGCCAGCTTTTGTTTATTTTTAAAGCTGTCTCTTGTAGCCCAGGCTGGTCTTGAGTTTGCTAACAGCTGGGAAATGACCTTGAACTTTCCATCCTTCTGTCTCCACCTGCAGATTGTTGGGATTCTTCTCGAGTACGTTTGTTTGTGTGTGTGTGTGTGTGTGTGTAATGTATGCATATAAGTGTGTGCATATATTTGAATGTGTCTTCATATATGGCAGCCAGAGGTTGACATCAATATTTCCTCCACTGACCTCTGCCTCGTTCCCTTGAGAAGGTCTCACTGTGCTGGAAGCTGGACATTTGACTAAGCCATCTGTGTAGCCAGCTCTTGGGATCCACCTGTCTTGGCCCTACTATGCTATAATTACAGGCATGCACAGTCGTGCCTGGCTTTTTGCTAGGAAGTGAACTCAGGTTCCCTTGCTTTTGCGGTACACACTCTTATCTCTTCACCATTTCCTCAGCCCCCACCCCTGCCCCCCTTTTGAGACAGGGTCTCATGTATCCCAGGGTGGCCTCCAACACGTAAGTAGCCTAGAATGTCCTTGACCCTCCAGCCTCCATCTTCTGAGTTCTAGAATTATAGGTGTGTGCCACCATGCTCAGATTATGAGTTGCTGGGGATTGAACCCAGGGCTTTGCACATCGAGGCAAGCTCTGTGCCAGCTGACCCACACCACCGGCCTTCTGTTGTCATTACTGAGACCGGGTAAGCCTCCACACCTCTATTGGGAGAGAGGAGGGTCCAACAGTGTGCCAGCTGGCTGGTTCTGGCCGTAGGAGAGAATGACGTGCAGGAGCCAGTTCTCTCCTACCACCTGTGCATCAGTCATGATCCCCTTGGGGGTCACATGCCTGATATCTTGCATATCAGATATAAGAGTAGCAAAATTACATTGTCTTATGGTTGGGGGGGTCATGACATGAGGAACTGTGTTAAAGGGTTGCAGCGTTAGGAAAGTTGAGAACCACTGTTCAACCATGGGGGTACTGGGAAACCAACTTGGGCTGTCTGGCTCGGCAAGATGCTTTACTCCCCGAGCCTTAGTTTTTGTGTGTATGTGTGTGGTGTATGCTCATGTGTGTCGGGAGCTGTGCATGCCTGTGGGGACACCAGCTGTCCTCTATCACTCTCCCTGAGCCTGGATCTGGGCTGGGAGTCAGCAAGCCCTGGTGATTGTTTTGTGTCTGCCTCTCACAGCCTTAGCGTTAGAGGAGTTCATGGCATTAAGCCTGCCACCCCCCCTTTTTTTTTTTTGAGAAAGAAGAGTCTTTCTTGCTGTAGCTCTGGCTGTCCTGGAACCTCACTATGTAGATGGAGCTGTCCTTGAACTCACAGAGATTATTTTATGTATGTGAGCGTTCAGTTTTCACGCCCACCAGAAGAGGGAATCAGACCCCATTACAGATGTGTGCATGTTGAGAATTGAACTCGGGACCCCTGGAAGAGCAGCCAGTGCTCTTAGCCACCCAGTCCAAGTGCTGGGATTTATGTCATGCATCACCACACCCAGCAAGCTGGGCTTTTAACTTTGGTTCTGGATCTGAACTCAGGTCTTCAGGGCTGTATGGTGTAACAGATGTTCTTAACAACCTCTCCAGCCCATGTGCTAGCATTTATTATTATTATTAAGATTAAAAAGCTTATTTTTGAGGCAGGCGGTGGTGGCGTACGCCTTTAATTTTAGCATCTCGGAGGCAGAGGCAGGTGGGTCTCTGAGTTTGGGGCTAGCCTGTGAGTTCTAGGACAACGAGGACTGTTACACAGAGAAATCTTGTGTTGAAAAATGAAAAAAATATTATTGGTGTATATATGCAATTGAGTGAGGGTGCCTACAGAGGCCAGAGGAAGGCATTGAGTCCCTAGGAACTAGAGTTACAGGCAGCTGTGAGCTTTCTGATTTGAGTGCTTGGAACTGAATTTGAGTTCTCTGGAAGAGTAGCAAGAGCTCTTAACCCCGAGGCACTTTCCAGCATCCGCATCCTTTCCCGCCCCACCCCACCCTGCTCTTTAGAATACATTTTCATTACTAAAAATTATGTATATGTGTGTGTATGCTTGCGGGAATGTGCATATGGATGTAGGTGCTTTTGGAGCCAGGACATAGAATCCTCTGGAACATAGGTGGAACACCCAAGGTGGGGCCTGGAACTGAACCTGGGTCCTTTGGAAGAGCAATGAATGCTCTTAACTCTTTAGTCTTCTTCCCAGTTCCTACCCTTCCCCCTTCCCTTCCCTCTCCTCTTTCTCCTCCTTCTAGATGGGGTCTCTCTACATAGCCCTGGCTGTCCTAGAATTCACTCTGTAGATCAGTTTGACCTCAAACTTACAGAGATCCTCCTGCCTCTGTCGCCAGAGTGGGATTAAAGACACTATGTCTGCCTCCAGTCCCCCCTTTTTTATTTATTTTGTATGTATGTGTGCTTTAGTGTATGCATGTGCACCATGTACATACCATGTTCACAGAGGTCTGAAGAAGGAGTTAGATGTGAGTTACCGTGTGGGGGCTGGGAACGGAACCTAGTCCTCTGCCAAGTGTTCTTAACTGCAGAGCCATCTTTCCAGTCCCTATATATTATGTGCTGAAAGTTAGTGCCGTGTTCAAAAAACACAAACAATGGCACAATCTGCATGTTGACAGCACTGGATTTCATCCTGGGAATATACATATTATGTGGTACAATATGTTCAAAACTTGATATTAAATAAGAAATACATCTATAACAAACATTTTATGTCTATAATTATCTATAATTTGGACATACCAGAGAATATGTAACATATACACTTAGTATAGAGTTTGACTTTGGCAGTCATCCCAGGTGCTGAGGCAGGAGTACTGCTGTGAGTTTGAGGCCAGTTTGGACTCACTGAGGGTGGTTCCGAGAGACAGCTTATTTAGTAAGCTGCTGACTGTGAAAGTTTGAGGACCTGAGTTTGGTCCCCAGAAGCCAGATTTTAAAAAATGGGCATGGTGAGAGTTCATAATCCCAGTGCTGGTGAAACACAGACCGACAGGTACCTGGGGCTTGCTGGCCAGATCCTACCCTATGTGGTGACTAGGGCTTGCTGGCCAGATCCTACCCTATGTGGTGACTAGGGCTTGCTGGCCAGATCCTACCCTATGTGGTGACTAGCAGACCAGTGAGAACTGGGGATGTAGCTCATTAAGTAGAGTGCGTGTCTAGCATGTGTGAAGACCTGAACTCAGTACCCAGCACCACATAATACAGGTGTGGTATTGACCTGTGATTTTAGCACCTGAGAGGTAGAGACAAGAGGGTCAGGAGTTCAAGGTCATACTCAGTGACCTAGCAAATTTGAGGTCAACCTGAGCTGTCTAAGATCTTCTTTCAAAAATAAAATATAAAAGCTGGGTGGTAGAGGCACAGCCTTCAATCCCAGCACTCGGGAGGCAGAGGTACAGAGGCAGGTGGATCTCTGTGAGTTCAAGGCCAGCCTGGTCTACAAAGAAAGTTCCAGGATATTCAGAACTAAACACTAAAACCCTGGCTCAAAAAAATATATGCTGGTGTGGCAGCACATGCCTTTAATCCCAACACTCGGTAGACAGAAACAAGCTGATCTCTGTGAGCTTGAGGCTAGCCTGGAATACAGAGCAAGTTCCAGGAGAGACAAAGTATGTATGTATACAGACACACAGACACACTCTGCCTACATTTGGAGTGATGGCTAGTGTCTGTGGTCCCAGCACTTGTGAGGTGGAGACAGGATGGTCAGAAATACTAAATCAGGTTTGGCTAGTTTAATGTTAGCCCAGGCTACATGAGATCCTGTTGCACAAAACCAAAAAAAAACCCAAACCAAACCAAAACATTTTTTTTAACTTGGGTATTGTGACCTGATCTACAAATTGAGTTCCAGAACTGGGTGGTCCAGAGCCGGGCGTGATGGCGCACGCCTTTAGTCCCAGCACTCAGGAGGCAGAGGCTGGTGGATCCCTGTGAGTTCGAGCGAGGCCAGCACGACCTACAAAGTTCCACACAACCTTCACAGAGAAACCCTCCCTTGAAAAACAAAACAAACAAATAAGCAAAAAAATAAACAAACTGAGTTCCAGGCCAGCTAAAGCTGCGCAGTGAGGCCCTAGAACTCACTGTGAAGACAAGGCTGACCTTGAGCACACAGATCTGCTGGCCTCTCTTGTGTTCTAAGAGGATGTGAGTGAATATCAGCTTGTCAGTGTCTGGGCGGTGGGCAGAGTGAACTGTTGAACACCCTGTTCTCTTGTAGGTGCCCTCTTCTGGGTCTTAGTCACTGAAGATCATGATGGCGTATATGAACCCGGGGCCTCACTATTCGGTCAACGCCTTGACTCTGAGTGGCCCCAATGTGGACCTGATGCACCCGGGTGTTCCATATTCAAGTAAGTATGCTCCTTCTTCCCAGCTTGTCTTTTAGGAACATCAGGTCCCAGCCTACTGGTTCAGTCTCTAGAGGGCTGGGATAGTTGTGCTACCATGATTCTTATTATTTAACAGTTTTCTTCTTCCTTCCTTCCTTCCTTCTCCTTCTTATTTATTCATTTTTTTTTTATTTACTGAGACAGGCTCTCACTATGCAGGCATTGTTTGCCTGAAACTCACTATGTAGACCAGGTTTATAAATTCAGAGATTGACCTGCTTCTGCCTCCTGAGTGCTGGAATTAAAGACAGAGCCACCTGACCTGGCCTTTTCTTTCTTTAGAGAACAAAGAAAACATTGTATTTATGTTTGTGTGCAGCGTGGGGAGCAGCAGGCACGGGTGCCATGGCTCTTGTAGAGGTCTGAGGATGACTTTTGGGAGTTTTTTTTCTTCTACTCTGTGGGTCCCAGGGACTGAACTCAGGTCCTCAGGCTTGTCCACAATCTCCTTTACACGCTGCACCGTCTTGCTAACCCACTCTCTTTTTCCTTTCACATTAAGTTGAACCACAGAGATATCACCTTTTTTTTTGTTTTTCGAGACAGCTTTCTCTGTAGCTTTAGACCCTGGAACACACTCAGTAGATCAGGCTGGCCTTGAACTCACAGAGATCCATCTGCCTCTGCCTCCCAAGTGCTGGGATTAAAATTAAAGGTGTGCATCACCATCGCCCAGCTAAGACATCACTTTTATGGGCCAGAGTGCTTGGTTATTAACAACATCATGCTTCAACTGAATATGAGTTTATGCATAAAAAGGTTCAGTAGGGCGCAATGGCCCCTGCCTGTAGTCCCAGCTGTTTGGGAAGCTGAGGTAGGAGAATAACTGGATCCCAGGATTTCAGGACCAGCTTGGGCTACATAGTGAAACCCTGTTGTAGTGAAAGAGGAGAAAGAGGAAGAGAAAGAGAGAGTGGAGGAGGAAGAAAAAGAGGAGGGGAAGGAGGTAGGAGAGAAATGAGAACAAAACGAGGAGCAAATCCTTGCAGGGCTAAAAGTGGTTCCCTCCTGTGGACATGTGACTGGAAAGCAGCTCCAGTTCCCCCGCGGACTGAGCCAGTGCTAGAAGGTCAGGGAATAAATACAGCCCTTGTTTAGGCAGATGGATGTACAGAAAGAACTTCTGGGCAGGCATCTCACTGGACCTCAGAGCACCCAGTCAGCAGAGCTAGCTAACCTGAGGGTTCTTTCATTCACTCATACACAGGCGCTCCCAGGAAGCAGCGACGGGAGCGAACCACATTCACCAGGAGCCAGTTGGAAGAGCTGGAGGCCCTGTTTTCCAAGACCCAGTACCCGGATGTTTACGCCCGTGAGGAGGTGGCTCTCAAGATAAACCTGCCTGAGTCCAGGGTCCAGGTAGGATGTTCTGCTCCCTGGACCCCTCCTGACCCTTACTGTGATCTGTGCGCCGTTATCAGACCTAGGGTGGAGGAAAGACAGAGAGGCCGCAGGGTAACAACGACATTTATGAAATAGCCCAAATCCCTCACTTCCCTAATTATGCCACTTAACTTTCTCTCTTTCCTTCCTCCTCCTCCACTTTTTCCTCCTCTTCTTTCTCCTCCTTTTCTTCCTCCTTCTCTTTCATTCCTCTTTTTCCTTCTTTTTTCAAGGCAGGATTTTTCTGTGTAACAGCTCTGGCTGTCCTGGCACTTGCTTTGTAGAACAGGCTGGCCTTGAACACACAGAGATCAGTCTGTTACTGCCTCCTCATGGGGGGGGGGGGGGAAGAGGGAGTTGGGTTAGAGGCGTGGTCACCACCTCCTGGCTAAAACTATTTTTGAGATTAGGTCTTTTTTTTTTGTTGTTTGTTTTGGTTTTTTTGAGACAGGGTTTCTCTAACTTTGGAGCCTGTCCTAGAACTAGCCTTATAGACCAGGCTGGCCTCGAACTCAAAGAGATTCACCTGCCTCTGTCTCCTGAGTGCTGGGATTAAAGGTGTTGTATCACTGCACCCGATTAGAGATTTATTTTTAATTATATTCGTTTATGTGTGTGTGTGTGTGTGTGTGTGTGTGTGTGTGAGGGCAGTGCCTGGGGAGAGCAGAAGTGGGCATCAGATTCCCTGGAGCTGGAGATACAGGCAATTGTTAGTCATGCCGTGTGGGTCCTTGGCAAGAGCAATACGCACTCTTAACCACTGAGCCATTTCTCTAGACTATTTTGTTATTTTATTATTTTTTAGTTATTCTTTGGTTTGGAAGGAGAGTGTGGAAATGATGTAATTATAATTTCAAAATTTTAGGTAAGTAATATAATTTTATTTTTTTGGTAATTTCATACATGGATACAATATATTGAGATATCTACTCCTTCCTCCCCTCCAAGTACTTCTGGACCCCCCTCCATTTCCTGCTTAGTTTCATTCCTGTCTTTTTTGTTTTTCTCCTCCTCTTCACCATCATCTTTTATAAGCCACTGACATATACTGTGCATATGCAGATAGGCATGGGGCCGTCCATTGCAGCATTGGCATTGTGAGAAAGTCTAAGTTATTCAGGCGCGCCTTGAGCTCACTCTACAGCCCTGCAGACCTTTAGCTTCAGGTCATCCTGCTTCAGCCTCCTGAAGAGCAGGCTTACAACAGGCCTGTCTCAGCAAGCCTAGCTTCACAGGATTTGTCCTGTCACCAAGCTTGTTCATCCATCAGTCAAGTCAGCTCACAACCCAGGAGACCCACATGGATCATGGTGCTTTTAATTCCAACCCAAAACCCCGGTGCTATTGTGTCCCTACTTCATAGCATCTTCCATGCACTGTTCTAGAATACTACACTAAGCATGATGACTCACCCCTGTAATCTCAGCATGTCAGAGGCAGAGGCGGGAGGACTGCCTTGAATTTGGGCCAGTCTGGGCTACACAGTGAGCCTCTGCTGCAATTGTATGATTTGCGTACTGTAACACTAATATTCCTCACAGTAGAAGAATATTAATCCCTCTGATGTCTCCGTTTAGTAGTAGAGGAAAGTGGATGCACGATCATTAGGTGAATGAGAGGATTTGTGGGTGAGAGAAGTGTGTGTGTTTGTGTGTGTCGTGGTGTGGGAGCCAGGCAAATGCTCTACCACTGAGGTACATCCCTAGCCCTGGTATTATGGAATCAATATGAAAAATTGTTGATGAGTATATGCAAATATGATATATTGCATGTGTGATTACCTGTTCATTTTCATGAGCAAGAGCATGTTAATATAATGTGTTCATATGTGCAAGATTATTTTATATATAGGTGAGGATAATACATGACGCCATCAGGTAGGTGGCTGAGTGCATGCAGGTATGTATGTGTATATGTGTATGACTGCATGCATATATATGAGGATAATGCATGATTGTATCAGGTTGGTAGGTATGCACATAGACTGATAGATGCATATATGTATGATTGCCTGTATTATGAAATATGTGTGATTGGTGCATGTAGGTTTCTGTGTGCATGTGTACGTGCATGATTGGATGGGTACACTGCTCATGGACAGAGCTGCCCCGTTGTTGGGTGCAGAGAGGTGAAGTGTGCCTCTTTCTGTCAGCCTTGTCTTCCCTTGCCACCCGAGGACTCAGCTCTTTTCCCAGTTTATTCACGCTCATCTTCACTCTCTCCCTCTAGGTATGGTTCAAGAATCGCAGAGCGAAATGCAGACAGCAGCGGCAGCAGCAGAAACAGCAGCAGCAGCCCCCAGGGGGACAGGTCAAGGTTCGCCCTGCGAAGAGGAAGGCAGGCACATCCCCACGGCCCTCTGCAGATGTTTGTACAGACCCTCTGGGCATCTCAGATTCCTACAGCCCATCTCTGCCTGGTCCCTCAGGCTCACCTACCACAGCAGTGGCCACTGTGTCCATTTGGAGTCCGGCCTCGGAGTCTCCTTTGCCTGAGGCCCAGCGAGCTGGGCTAGTGGCCTCAGGGCCCTCTCTCACCTCAGCCCCCTATGCCATGACCTATGCTCCTGCCTCTGCTTTCTGCTCTTCTCCCTCCGCTTATGCGTCTCCAAGCTCCTATTTCAGTGGGCTGGATCCCTACCTTTCTCCCATGGTGCCCCAATTAGGGGGTCCAGCTCTCAGCCCTCTCTCAGGCCCTTCTGTGGGGCCATCTCTGGCCCAATCCCCTACCTCCTTGTCAGGCCAGAGCTACAGTACCTACAGCCCCATGGACAGCCTGGAATTCAAGGACCCCACAGGCACCTGGAAATTCACCTACAACCCCATGGACCCTCTGGACTACAAAGATCAGAGTGCCTGGAAATTTCAGATCCTGTAGAAGAGGCTTCCTGTTCCCCCTTCCAACTGAAGCACCCTCTCTGGGCTCCATCTGCCTCCTCCAGCTTAGATTCCAGGAGAGTAGCCCCCAGGAAGGGACAGGAAGTAGCAATCCTGCCAAAGGCTGTGGACAGTCAGCCTCAGGTTCAGTCCAATCTCAGCTTCATCAGAGAACCTAGCCCCTGTACAGCCTACCCCATCAATGAAAGAGGCTCTTGCCTCTCCTGAGCAATCAGTAGATGTCATGATTGTGATGTGTGTGTCTGCTGCTTTTCCAAAGACTTCAAGTAAAGGTGCTTAGAATGTGCTCCAGAGAGAAAGGAAATCTGTCTTGCAATTTACCTGGAGAATGTTTAAGTCAGAACTCACGGTGCCCTAAGCCAGGTGTGCTGACTCAATGTTTATAATCCTACAATGGAAGAAACTGAGGCAAGGGGGATTTCTGGGAATTTGAGGCCAGCCTAGGCTCCAGAGTGAAACCTCTAAATTCACTTGGAAATTTTTATACAGTTAAAGTTAACAAATGTCAAGCTTACATGGTAGATTTAAGGGGTTGTCCATTTGATTTATGTGTATATATGATTTATGTATCTGTATAGATATTACAGGCATGTGCCACTAAACTGAGCTGGGAGGCTGTGTCTTGGACAAAAGCAAAATGCAAAAGAAGATTGATATGAATATTTGGGAGTACTTGAAAGATGAATAGAATGTATTAGAACCTAGTCACCAGTTCCCAGGTGAGATTGCGGGGGCACCAGTGCTGGGGTCTTCTGGATGCCTGTAGAAATTGAATCTCATCAAGAGGCTGGAAGCCCAGTTCATGGGCCCACCTTTTAGATGTCTACAGAGTATGTCCAATATATATTTCATAAGCCAGGAGTGGTAGCACACACTTGGTCACCACAGGGAGGGGGAGACAGGGGGGGAATAAGAGTTCAAGGTCATCCTTGTCTATATTGCAAGTTTGAGGCCAGCCTGGGCTACATAACACTCTCCCTTCCTCCTACAAATCCCACATTCCAAGTCATAAGACTGACCAGGAAAACGGTTGTAGATTAGGGGACCAGGAGTCCCCCTCATTTGATGTTAGCTTCTCTGTTCTGTTCTCTTTTTTTTTCCCACTTTCTGGCCTCTCAGGTCTCCCTTCCCTGGCTACCCAGAGTGAAATTGATTAAAAATGTTAGATCCCACTCAAATTTGAGTGATTTTTTTTTTTTTGGAGGGGCAAACTTGGCTAGGTGGGAAGAGATTAAGATTTGCGCCCACAGTGTGTGTGCTCCTGGGTATTTCCTGTTATGGCAAAGTTTTTCTCCTTATCTTCTGAAAGTCAACTAAGAAGGGATACATGACCAGGGTAGGTGGGTCAGGCTTGGGATCCCAGCACATGGGAGCTGAGGAGGAGGATCTCAGGTTTAAGGCCTGCCTAGGAAACTTTTTTTTTTCTTTTTTGGGTTTTTAGAGACAGGGTTTCTCTGTGGCTTTGGAGCCTGTCCTGGAACTAGCTCTGTAGACCAGGCTGGTCTCGAACTCAGAGATCCGCCTGCCTCTGCCTCCTGAGTGCTGGGATTAAAGGCGTGCGCCACCATCACCCGGCTCTGCCTAGAAAACTTAATGAGACCTCATCACAGATAAGTTTTAAAAGATTGTGGCAGTGTGACTCAGTGGTAGAGCCGCTGCCTAGAATCCCCAAGGGAGGAATTGGGGTATGGTTCAGTGGTAGAACCCCTGCTTAGTATCCCCCAGTGAGGGTCAGAGGACTTGGCTTAGTGATACAGTGCTCATCTGTTACAGTATGAAAAATTTCCACACTAGCCCAGAGTGGAGTATAATAAAGGTTTATTTATTAGGGGTTAAACTCAGAATTTATTAGGGGGATAAACTCACAGAAAGACTAGCGATTCACAGTCCTCTGTGTGCACAGGCAACTGGAACCCAACCCAGCAGCCAAGGGGCCTGCACATACTTTATACTTTTTGTCTGTATATATATTATATGAGACCATTCCTAAAATGGGCCAGTATCTTAAAGGCTATTGGCTGAAGGAGTTCCCACAGCACCTCCCCATTTTTTCTAAATAAGAGAGTTCTAAGCCTAATACAAAACTATATACAATAAGAACAAATATTGGGGGCTGAAGAGATGGCTTGGTGGTTAAGGGCATTGCTTGCTTTTACAAAGATCCTGAGCTCAATTCCCAGAAACCACATAGTGGCTCACAACCATTTGTAATGAGATCTGGTGCCCTCTTCTGACCTGCAGGCAGAACATTGTATATATAATAGTAATAATGATGATAGTTAAAAATAAAAATAAAAAAAATATCAAGAATTAAAATTAGAATTACAACCAGCATGAGCAACATCAGGCAAGAAACATATGCTAATTGTTTTAATAGTTATTCTATCCTAAAGAGTTCAAGTCTTATATTAGAAATGGCTTGACTAAGTCATAAGAGGAAACTAACTACCACTATCTAGTCTTTTTTTTGGTTTTTCGAGGCAGGGTTTCTCTGTGGCTTTGGTGCCTGTCCTGGAACTAGCTCTGTAGACCAGGCTGGTCTCGAACTCACAGAGATCCGCCTGCCTCTGCCTCCTGAGTTCTGGGATTAAAGGCGCGCACCACCACCTCCCGGCTCCACTATCTAGTCTTTTTTTTTTTTTAATATTTATTTATTTATTTATTTATTTATTTATTTATTATGTATACAATATTCTGTCTGTGTGTATGCTTGAAGGCCAGAAGGGGACACCAGACCTCATTACAGATGGTTGTGAGCCACCATGTGGTTGCTGGGAATTGAACTCAGGACCTTTGGAAGAGCAGGCAATGCTCTTAACCACTGAGCCATCTCTCCAGCCCCCCACTATCTAGTCTTAAGCCCCATCAAAGACCTGAGAAGGGAAATATTACTAGAGTAAACAGGAAATACAATCAAGAAACGCCCAAAAGGTGAAATAAATGACAGAGACAACCAGCTACCTGGGCAATCACCTAAAGTCACATTTGCATGAGACTCTTAATTTCATGCTGGTGGGTTTGAGCCCCATGTTAGTCACCATTTTGTAGGCAGAGACTGCTCATTCATTTCCCAGCTGCCCAGACCTGAACAATAACACAGAAACCATATCAATTACAACACTGCTTGGCCAATAGCTTAGGCATATTTCTAGCTAACTCTCACATTTTAAATTAACCCATTTCTATTAATCTGTGTATTGCCGGGAGGCTGTGGCCTACTGGTAAGGTTCTGACTGGTGGCTGGTGTCTTTCTCTTTTGGCAGCTACATGGCATCCCCTTGACTCTGCCTACTTTCTTTCTATATCTCTGTTCGGATTTCCTGTCTGACTTTACAAGTCATTGGCTGAAAGAGCTTCTTTAATAATCAATGGTAATAAACATATTCATAGCATACAGAGGGGAATCCCACATCACTCATCTATAATGTTGGAGACCCTAGGCTCAAGTCCTAGTAGAGCAAAAAGAAAATAAGTCAGTTCTAACTGTTGGAATCATCACAGCAATGCAGCAGATAAACACTATTATTATTATAGGTGGGGAGATTGCAAGGGATGGGGAGTCAATACAGTCACCACATCCCACATCTGGGGGAGGGAAGAACTGTACTTTGTTGGTACCTTCTTAGAATATGGAGTCCCTTCAGTTTTTAAAAAAATGCATGTGTATGGGCGTTTTACTTGCTTGTATGTCTGTGTACCACGTGTAGGCAGTGCTCTTGGACCAGAAGAGCATATCCAAGCCCGTAGGAACCAAACCTGTGTTCTCTGGAAGAGCAGTTAGTTCTCTTAACCACTGAGCCATCTCTTTATTCCACCATCATTTTTAAAGGCAGGGTTTTGCTACATAGGCCTGGCTGTCCTCAAACTCATAAAAATCTGACTCCCACCTGCGGGGGTTACAGCTATGTGCTTGGTCTCTTGCGTTTTCTGGCTGTCCCCTCTTCTTCCTATGTCTGCCCTGCCCCCATAGCTGTCTGTTTCTCTTATTGTTTTCCCCTTCCACCTCATGCAGTCTGTTTCCTGTGTCCCTGGACAGGACTAATTTAATAAATGCTCCAATCCTCTTAGGGCAACAGTCCAGCCTCAGCAGAAAGGCAGAGGACTTATGGAGGATTAGGCTCAACCTCAGGACCTGTGGGGGAGGGGACTCTTTGGGGACAACTATTTTTATAAGCTATATGACATCTGTTCCTTACATCAATCCCACGTGAACACAGCCGTATTTGTGTGTGCCATAATGATGCAATCATGACTTACTGCATATGTATGTATCTATCTATCTACTATCTACTATCTATCTATCTATCTATCTATCTATCTATCTATCTATCTATCTCTGTGTATTATTTGTTCATGAATGCATACACCTGAACTTGCACATGCAGAGGTCAGAGGAAGACATGGGGTATCTTCCTCTTTCATTCTGCCTTTTGAAAAAAACCTGTTTATTCGATGTATTTATTTTATTTAATGTGTTGGAGTGTTTTGCCCTCGTGTAAGTATGTGCACTGTATGTGCCTGATGTCCTCAGAGGCTAAACCATCCCTGGAAAAAAGTGTAAATTACATTTATTTTTTTTTTTGTGGGTGTATGTGGATATGCACACAGTGAGTGTGGAGGTCAGAACACAGCTTGAGGTTAGGGAGTTGGTTCTTTCCTCCACCCTGAGGGAATGGTCACTTGTTAGGCTCAATGACAAGCATCTCTACCCACTAAGCCATCTCATCAGCCTGCAAAGACTCCTGTCTGGAAAGTTCCAAGATGGAGATGGGAGGTGGTAGTGCATGCCTTTAATCCCCTCACTTGGGAGGCAGAGGAAGGTGGATCTCAGTGAGTTCAAGGCCAGCCTGATCTACAAAGAGAGTTCCAGGACAGCCAAGGTGGTTACACAGAGAAACTCTGTCTCAAAAAAACCAACCAAAGCTGGGCGGTGGTGGCGGGAGGTAGAGGCAGATGGATCTCTGTGAACTTGAGGCTGGCCTGGTCTATAAGAGCTAGTTCCAGGACAGGCATCAAAGCTACAGAGAAACCTTGTCTCGAAAAATCCAAAAAAAAAAAAAAAAAAAAAAAAAAACCCGCAAAAAAAAACAAAACCCAAAAAACCCCCAATCAACCAACCAACCAACAAACATGTTCCAAGATGGTCTAGATTAGAGGGGTCATGTGTGACCTGGACAACAGAACTGGAGGAACTGTACAGAACTCACAGCTCACGACTGAGTCTGTTCCACCCTGAATGCACCCTATCTTGTCTGATTTTTGGAAGCTAAGTGTTGTGGGTCTTAAGGCTCCGAAACAACTCAAGCAGACATAAGAAATCACACAAAGCAAGATTTTATTACTGGGCAGCACAACAGGAACTGACCCATTAGGGTCAACAATACAGATTCGGGAGCTGGCTGCAACCCTGAATGTCAGTTGAAGCAAGTATTTAAGCACAAACCCCACAAATATCTGTGTCAAGTAGCAGTTTTTCACCAATCAGGATTTAAAGATAAGAGGTTTTCTCTGTGTGCTCCATCACTGTCAACTGATATAAAATGGGAGCTTTTCAGACCAACTAGTAAGATTCACTTGTTCTTTCTGTTGTTAGGAACAGCCATAATGTTTTAGAGAACTGAAGATGCCTAACAGACTATTTCTATGGTTTAAGGAGGAGGCTGGCCAGCTATGGGAAAATCCCCAGCTCCCCTTGGGCTTGGGAATGTGAACTTTGTTTCACCCTACAGGTAAAACGGAGTCTGAAGTCAAAATGGCAGTGCTTAGGACAAGATGCTTTTGCCTAGGAAGGAGAACTCACAGGTTGGCCAAGTTGGATTTTAGGGATGACACAGATGAGATATTTATTTATTTATTTGTTTGTTTGTTTTATTAAAAATTTCCACCTCCTTCCCTCCTCCCATTTCCCTCCCCCTCTGTCTCCAGTCCAAAGAGCAGTCAAGGTTCCCTGTCCTATGGGAAGTCCAAGGTACTCTCCCCTCCATCCAGGTCTAGGAAGGTGAGCATCTAAACAGACTAGGCTCCCACAAAGCCAATACATACAGTAGAATCAAAACCCTTGTCCTTGGCTTCTCAGTCAGCCCTCATTGTCAGCCACATTCAGAGAGTCTGGTTTGATCACATGCTCCATCAGTCCCAGTCCAGCTAGCCTTGGTGAGCT